GGGGGGGGGGGGGGGGGGGGGGGCTTCCTCCAGTGGACACGGGGCTTCTGGGAGAAGGCCACCGGCCATCTCGGTGGATTGATTAAAGTCATTGTGGGGATTTTTTTAACATTTAATTTACCAGGCACGCAGCGGCCAGTCAGAACTGTCCCCGGGGAAATCTAGGCCAAGGGAGCAAAACAGAAAAAACCTTCTGCAATTGAGCAGAGCCCCTCTGATGGGATTAATTGCTGGAGCTCAGCTTCCAATCAGACCTGCACGTGGCAATATTTCAGGGAGGCAGGAGGACATGGGGCTGGAGTGGTCAGATTCCTGCACTGGGCGCTGGAGCCCCGGGGCCCTCCATACCACTATCCCTTCCCAACCTGCTGGTGACCTTGAGCCCCTGGGCCTCGCTGTCACCACATATGAGGGGGAAGGCACCTCAACACAAGGCAGACCAGTTCCTCCTGAGTCCAGCCCCCTCCATCCATCCTTTAAAAGAAGGATCCAAGTCCTTTCAGCCAGCAATTTGACAGTAGGAAGGCACCCCAGACATGCTCCCATGGTGTGCACAGGAAATGAACACCTGGCAGGGGCATCTGTAATTGGCAGGGAAATGGCCAGTGCTCACACTTCATCCTCAGGGACAGTGGGTGGCAGGTGGAAACACTGGGAGCTCTTGGAATGAGGGCACGGCCATGTGCAGTGTGGCCGCATTGTAGTTTTAGAGAACACTCATGTTCATGAAGGCCTGGACCCTTCCTGCAAGGGACACAAGAAACAGGTAAAAATTGCCACCCCTGGGGAGAGGGCAGGGGTGAGGCCGGGGAGAGGCTTTTACTTCCATTTGATAGCCTTCTGCATGGTTTTAACTTTTGTGGGTTTCTTAGCCATGACTTTTGGTATTTAATAGAGATACGGGTTAGAGTGCCTGCACTGCCAGCGACAAAGCGCTCTGACCACCAGGGCCCTAGGACTGACCACACTTGGCACCAGACAGACCTGCATCCCCTCCAAGGATGTGGGGGATGGGAAGAAACCCCCTCCTCTGAAAGGGGGCCTTGAAACCCTGCCTACGCTTCCCCAAGCCTGGTCAGCTCACAGCCTCTCGCTCACCCAGCCCTCTGGGAGGCCGGGCCCAAATCTGGGGTTGGAGGCCTCAGGAGAGCCAGCGAGGACAGTCCACAAGGGGCGCCGAGGTTCAGGGCAGGACCTCCTGGTCAGCGAGGTCCCTCCTCCTCCTCAGCACTGGGGGCAGGTCCCGGAGATGATCGATTAAGGTCATTGCACCAGCTCTTCCGGGGGCATCTGATGTTCAGGGGAGGGTGGCCCATCTCGGGTTTAGCAGTCACTGGCGTTTACTATGGACCAAGCTCTATTTCGCCCACCTGCCAACATTCATTCATTTAGTCCTCAATGCTAGGAGAGGGTATCACTACTCCCCACTTTACAACTGAGGAAACTGAGGCATAGAGTGGTGAAACAACCCGCCAGAATTTTTCCCACGCAGTCTGGATGGACAGTCTGTGCTCCTCGCCCCTGTGTTTTGCTCTCTCCTCGCCCCCTTCACCTTCAAGGCCTGGCGTCAGGAGTGCAGCAGTGGCCGGGGAGGACTGAGCCCTGACCTGGGGGCTCCCGGCCTGGAGACAGAAGCAGGAGAGGAGAGGGTCGCATCTGCAGTGGGCTGTGGGAGTCCATCCGGGGTCCTGTTGGGGACACTGTGCTAACGGGTTGTCAAGGAGAGAGGGAGACTCCAGCATGGTCAGGCCGCCGCCTGTAGATGGGGACCCCGCTGGCCCCTGGGCCGGCCCTTCCTGCCTTCTGCCCACGCCCCACCTGCGCGCGGAGGACAGCCGCAGGCGCCGTGGCTTCAGCACCTCGGCCAGCGCCAGGACCGGGGCTCGCTCTGGGCAAGGGCCCCAGCCCTCCGCCTTTGTCAAGTCGGGTGGGGACGAGCTGGGGGCGGGGGGTGCGGAAATCTCCGGGGGTGCCGAGCGCTTCCCAAAGCCCGCGCTGCGTGGCGGGGTCCCAGCCACATGGCACGCGCTCGACAGCCCCAGCCACTGGCTCCGCGCCCACCGGCGCCCCCTCCCGTCCGGTCTCAACGCCGCAGCCGGGGAGAGCCTCGAGGTAGGCGGATGGGATCGCACCACCCCAGCTCACGGGCTGAGACCCAGGGCCCCGCAAGACCAGGCCGGCCCTCTCCTCGGCTCTGCTCCCCACGCGCT